AATATATTTGAGATATATTCTGACGTGACAATTGGAATTGGAAAACGTTCCAATAACAACAACAAGAATTAGAATAACATACTAGAATCTAAATTTTAGATTCTCGGCGCGGCGGATTTAGTGGAGGGTCTTTATATACGGTATCGCGAGGTTTCCGAGAAACCAGAGTATCAGATGGTCACGGTACTCAACGCCGGCGCCACCAGTTACGTGCTTACCAACTTAAAAAAGTATACGCGATACGAGTTCTTCCTGGTTCCCTTCTACAAGATAATCGAGGGTCGACCGAGCAATGTAAAGCTGGTCACTACTCTGGAAGACATACCTTCGGGCGCTCCCGAGAACGTTCACGTAGGGATGATAAATATGACCTCGGCGTTCGTTCGGTGGTCACCGCCGCCGAAGAATACTCAAAACGGTCAATTGATTGGTTACAAGGTAAGAGTTTCGCAAGTGATATGTCGCGAAAATTAATCTCTTTATTTAATTTAACTATCGATTCATTCGCCCGATTTAGATTCAGATCAAGAGCAACAGCAGTAACAAAATCTTGGGTCAAATGTCCCTGAATGCGTCAACCACATCGGTGATCATCAACAGTCTGACTACTGGCGGTTTGTATACGGCACGCGTCGCTGGACAAACTCGCGTCGGGCTCGGTCCCTTCTCCAGTCCGACACTGTTGAACATGGATCCGGGACAACTAACGCAATTACCGCCGCGAACCGATCCCAGTCACGGGGGTGTGTCCGTCGTCAGAGAAACGTGGTTTCTTGTGCTCATGATAACGATGATATTCGTCGGTATCGTCGTGTTGCTAGCTGTGTTATACGTGAGACGCAGGCAAGCGATGAGCAAGCAACTGGGTCATTTAAACGTGCCTGTGGGTACCGCAAACGATATCTGTCAATTAAACAAGGACACGCTCTGGTTGGAGCGCGGTTGGCGGCCTACCAATACTCTCCAAGCCGCCAACGACAAGGATTGCGAGACCAAGTTGCTCAACAATCAGCATATGCTGGCAGCCGGTATAATGGGCATGACCGGCTCGGAGTACGCTGAAGTGAATCTAACAACGTTTTATAACACACGCAAGCAAATGCAGGCACCGCCACCGGAGCCGTATGCTACCACGACTCTGTGCGTGGGCAGTCGTAATTCGGATTCAATCGAAACCAGCTGTCAGAAGTCGAACTCCAGCGACTCGTGCCTAAAACCCGATTATTCGAGTCTGGACTCGAATCAGGAGCCCAACAAATCCACGGTGTCGCCGAGTAGCGATAACATGAGTGGCGGCGACGCTACCTACGCGGACGAGAACCTAGATATACAAAGGAGGCAGTACAGAATAGCAGGACCAACGAGCAGCGACGCGCCTCAAACCGGTATGCCAATGCCTAACTGGTGCGACATGTTACCGCCACCACCTGAGCATCCGCCCCCGCTCAGCGCGTCGATGGGCGCCGGCCGGATGCAACAACAACAGCACCAATTACAGCATCCGCATCAACAGCAACAACAGCAAGTGCCGTTCAGTCCGCATCTCGGCAAGAGAAGCGTTCAAAACGACCTGGATCATTGCGGCGGCTCCGGCGCCGGCTCGGGCAATCTGCAGAGTCCACCCACTCCGCCCATCAGAGTGACCAACAGCTTCAGTCCGTCACCGACACCGTGGAACGGTGGTGGGCAGAGTCAGCAGCATTCGGAACCCGGCGTTCTCCCGGTGCCCGGCAATTTACAAGTGTCGCAGGGTAGATACACTACGCTACCGCCGCAAACTAATCCGCCGCCGTTGCCCTCGTTCCCGCAGACTTTCAATCATTACGACTACAAGAATCAAGAGAACGAATACGAGAGCGGCTCCGTCATTTACGGCCATCACCACCAGAACGGTCTATCGGACGATTACGGCATCCGCGAATCCGGGTTTGCGCGCTCTTGCAATCAACAACAGTCGCATTTGACACCGTCGTCCGTGAGCGAGGAGCTTTATCGACACAGGGATGACATGTTTCACAACGACAATCTCTATCAGCCCGAAAACGACGAATGGGACAGGAAGTCGTGCGATTCCAACACACATTCAGACGCGTGCTGCTCGTGCTCGGAATCGAGTTGTCTCTATGCCGATACCGTACAGTACAATGCACAACAATACGGTAGTGCATGCGGTCACAGTAGTGGCAGAACAACAGGTTCCCGAAGCAGGAGTAACAGGAGTCCGCGAAGAAGAAATAGAACAGCTTCGCCTACGTATAGTAGCGACAGCAATTATTCTTGCATCCCTCCGAGACAGTGCGGAAATACGAATTCGCAGGAAAGGCTGAGGCATAATCGTAGTAAAGGTAACGAAAAAATGAAAACTTATCGACTTTAACTAAAATTTTATCCCTGAGTTTGTCTGTGTCTTAACTTTTCGTTCCTTTTATTCCTTTCAGACAAATTGCCTGGCTTTTCGAGAACGGGCGGTTACAGCCAGCACAATTCTTCGGCCTCGAATACGATGAGTAGTACGGGCAGCCAACGATACAATAAACTAAATAGTATCTTTGTAAGCGGCAATAACCCGATCGCTCCAACAGACTCTAGTCGACTGGGTGATCACCGTGAGAGCTAAATTCTGCCTGAACGTAGCAAGTATAGGACGTGCCTGAATGAACGGCCTTCGATCACAACGAACGATCGCAGTCTGCATTACAGGAGGCCGTTATGCAGTCAGCAAACTTGTCGCGGACGCTCGCCAAGTACTGTAAGCGCGCCTTTATATATAATATAGTTGACAGCCCGCAAGCTGATGTACTCTGATTTAATTTGTTGATTATATACAGGCTCATTAAAAAAGTGAGTTCGGTAACAAAATTGCGGGGCAAACCTCGCGCTTTTCTGCGTATCACCGCGTTACATAATATTGAAAAGGTTTGATAGATTTCGCGAAGCAATTAGTAAGTATTCCATGACTGAGAACGCTTACGTTTAGCCGATTATATGCGGCGGTAGCTTAAGCTCGTAGAATATTCCTATGTTCGTACGAAGGGCAATAACGGTCTTCTATCGCGGAAGGAACGTAATCTCGATATTTGGAGATTGTAGAATAAACCTCGTGATTGACATTCGCGGCGCTTTTTATTAACGCTTTAACGCCGGTACAACCCGTTATATACATATAACGTATTCAATCGTTTTGTACTCACTATTCGGATAAGGGCTTTCAGAAAAAAGGATCAACGACACGTAATAATATTTCTTTTTCAAACTCTTTGACAAATAGACTGATGAAAACGCTTCATTGGAACTTTATTTATATTTGCTTCGTGCCTCAATTTATATGACGCTGTGAAACGAAAGCGATTGCGAGTTTCGAACGATATTAAGGAGCAAAAAGAGAAGTAGAAAAAGTTATGTTTGCTGTCGCGTCATGTTCTTTGAGCGAAGATTCAATCCCCAAGCGACCACGCCGGTCTAATATTCCAGTTAACACTTTTTAAACTTTATTATACTCTCGACTGCCATATATACTGCCATTCCCATTGACGTTTCTACACCGCACGTTAAGGTGTTCTATTAGTTTAATTAAGTAATCTTTTAAATAATGACTCTAAAAGTCATATTTTAACTCGCAAATGCCAACGAGCTATAAAGGATCTCGCGCGACTGGTTCCGGTTAACGTTCAAGCATATGAATATCACAATTTCATATTTCAGAAATGGTTTTTTTTTTTTACATGACAATAGCACAAACGGAGAAGAAAATACAGGGGTGACGGTCCCGGGTAATGTAATGAGCTGGTCTACTCGAATGCGAACAAAAGATTCAGGTCACGTAAAAAGCGTACGAATCAAGCAAACGCAGTTTATCAGTACTTTAATTGTCGAAATTTATTCGCGAAAAAATGTGATAGCTTGCAATAATTTCAATTTAGTTTCATAAACCAATAAAATAAAATCAAGTTTTTTTTCTTGCAGTAGTATATTCGTAAAGTATATTCTTCTTATAAAAAATAATACACAATTTTATGATTAAAAAATTGATCAAAATTGTTGAAACTATCGCAGAGAGATGCTTCGAGACTATTTATTTAAAAAAAGATCAATCTCCACCGTGTGCCATCATAGCAATAATAAGTGTATACGTATATATGATTGTGTGGAGATGAATATTTACGATAACGAAATTTCAAGATCTTTGTATGACTCTTGGAACAATGTCCTTTCGTGATCTCCTTGAGTAGTAAAATGATTTCACTCGGAAATCGTTGTGTCGAGAGCAATCGAGCGAACAATCGTCCACTATATACGAGATTAAATTGATCAACTGTATTTGCTTGTTCTTTGCGTAATCCTTTCGTTACGATTAGTTTTTGTCGAATTTAATTTCACTTTTTGCAAAGGAAGCGACTGCTTTTTATCGTGTGATACTTAAGTGTATTATATCGCGGTTTATGTTATATAGCGATCACTTATATCCATATTCCGCGTTTAAATGATATCTAATTTATAAACGAGTTCCTTCGATTCTGAGCGATAACAATTGCGTTTAACGTGGTTAAATGCGGAATGTGAAGATGGGGCAAATTATTCTATTGTCGTTCTTAATTCGAACAATTAGAGGCAGGTACGATTACAGTCGTGGCTCTTGGCGAAACACGGGTGAAACCTTAACGGATAGGCAAGCATAATCGTCGTAGCGAAAGGATTAACATGTCGCGCTCACACATTGATCTTACAAAGCGTAGCATTTATTTTCGACGGCCTGTACTGGTATTCTGATTACGCGCGATAAATGAAGCATATTATTTTGGATATAACGTTCCTAAATCTTAAGAGAAATAATCCTGGAGGGCTAATTTCCACGAAGAAGGGCGACGTATATAATTCTTCCAAAACGAACGCACGTAGTAATACGTTTTTAAAGAAACGAAGTAACAATAATATATATATATATACATATATA